GATATCGGCAAAATGATGACATTTTCTTTAGAAAACTGTATATAGGAAGAGAAGAGTTTGAAGAGTGAATTGAGATATGAAGCAATTAAAAAGATAGTTTCTATTGTTAATAACACTGTTAACAAGCGTCCAATGACTAAAGAAGTGGCATAACCAACAATTAAAGCGTAGGTAATGGAATTAAAATACCAGTTACATGCGTTCGGCATTTACGTAGTCAGCTTTATGCCACAAGAGTGAACCGGTAAAGTGCACAAGAAACTTTTACTTTCTATTTCAATGTCCACTAACAATAAGGTAACATTTTCTTAAGATTTGCATTTTTATTTGTTCGCTCTGATATAATTATGTTCCGTATGCGCACCACGTAATAATTACCCGACGAATTTTAATAGTATTGTACTTTCACTGTTACGAATGTGAGGAAAGATTTATCAGCTGTTTCAAGGGGATTCAGGCATAAATATTTATTAGCGCGAGATATAGGTTGCGTAACAAGCTTCACAACCTTCTTTTCGGTAACCTCATTTGAGAAGACGTAAAAAATATTTCAACAGAACAAACAATTTGGGCGCGCTTTATTTATTTAACCAAGCAAAGCTGCACCTGACAAAAAGGTTATAATTTCGTGAATAACCAACAGTAACTCACCCCAGCTGTTGGCATACACTTTGGCTGAACGCAAGACGCAATAAATCAGAACATCACAGAAAAAAGAAAAGAAAGGCGGGAAGAAAACTGTCATGGCGTCTGAGCCGCTTAGACGATTTGTTATTTCCCGTTGAGTGAAAGGTCCTACGAAATTGTTTCAGTGAAATATGTTTGTGTACGTGCGGTAATCGTCTTACGAGCACAGATAATGGTAATGATTAATTAAAGTTATGTAAACGTAACTTGCTCCATTTACTTTGTTGATGGCCGCTGCAATTTGTTACGGTCTCTTTTGAAGTGCGTACATATTTCATGAAAGCCGAGTTCATTTGTATTTGATATTCGCAAACGTAATAAAATCTGACCTAATGGTTTAATGGAGTTGTAAAGGTAAATGGAAACATTGCCCATTTTGGTTCATAGAACACGCATAAGAACCAATAAGTGGTCAATGCTATAATTACGTAGTTAATACGGTAGGCACCTACTTCATTGTTATTCACAGAGCATACGAACACGGAAACCCTTAACAAACCCACACGAGAATGGTACAAGAATACCCAAGACAAACAAGCCACTAATTCCACTTGTAACACAAGATTAAAGTTACTAGTTGAAACTATAAACACGCCGAAAAAGCAATCAAACTAAGTGTTAGATAGCTAATCTCTCAACGGCGCGGTCAGATTCGAACGATCCACGAAATGTAAACAGGAGTACGTCTGTCAGTAGTACGCCGAGATAACTAAGCAAAGCGGTTTTATGTGCTCGCACAACTTTTTTAATTAAAACATCAGGAAAAATAGCGCGATTTTTTGCCGTTTGTAATACTGGAGTTTCGTCGTATGTTTTTGTGATGGTAATCTGACATAATGAGAGCGATTACTTTATGTTTGAAGTTGTGTTGCGTAACGGGTTTACGAGTTTTTTATTGAAATTGTTAATTAGTTACACAAATAACTGGAATAAGGTTTATGTTAGCATAAACTTCGATCATCAATTTTAACAAATCTCTGTGCCTAAATAATCATTATTAATGGCTGTATTTTCATTTTATAGTTTCTTGTCTGAGGGTTACATGAATCATAAATTAATGATCTAAGAATAATGAAATAACTATCGACAACAATGACTTATTCATTGGATATCTATAAAGTAATTTGCAATAATACGAGCGAGTGTGAATTGATTAAAACATAATGCCCATCTTCCTGTGTGTCGACATGCAGTCATATCCGTGCCTCAAGTAACTTGAACATAACCTCCTGTTGAATAACAACAAAAGAAACGACAATATACAGATTACAAAACATTGTGGCGTTCAGCAGTATGAATTATTTAAATATTATTGTACTAGGCTGTACGCTATCATCTTTGCCTGTCTAAAAAATATTAAAAACTTTAGCTGTCAAATAGAATCATGCGCCACAGGTTAAAAATACTCTGGAAGATTACGCAAAGAAAAACGGAAGCGTTTGATTCCTCGATTTTATTTAATGAAAATCGAGATAGTGATGTGCTTAACTGTAGTAGAGTGGAGGGGTCCACAGCCGTCGCTTCTAATTTTAGACTAGAATGGCGGCCAGATTAAATTTTTAACGCGCTCGGTTTAGACATGGAAAACTTCATAGGTACGAACAAATTTTACGCTAGAAAAACTTTTTAAAATTGAAACTTCCATTGTTAAGCCAATTAAGCAAACTAGACTGTGATTAGTTTTACAAACTTACTAATGGTACCTAAATTTTATTTATTTAGCTGAGATTTTGGGAGTAGAGTTACATTATGAAGAGACCAACATCAGAACTAAATCACTATTTCAATTACGTAGATTAGACATTAATTCTTCGAAATTTCGAAGCCCTCTAAATCTAAACATTTATTTTGAACCCAAGAACAGACCCAATCGTATTAACACCCCTACTTATTCAGGATCCGCGTATAAACGATTCAATTCCACAATTAGATCCATCGCGGATCCCAACAAAGAACGCAGGCCGCCATCCAGACACAATTTACATTTCAAATGGAACCCAGTTCCTTCAGTGTCAGTTCTTGTAAGAAATTACCTTGAAATTATAATTGCAGGCTTGAGCGAGGGAATAAAAAGCAGGACTAGGTACATTCAGGTAGGACGTCTTTGAGTTTGCTCGTAATTGTGCTCGAATTGAGCTGCTTCGCTTGAGTCGGTTCGCTCGAGCCGCTTCGCTCGAGCAGTCCCACTGACGGCGGAGCGTGCAACTTTAGTGAAGTTGTACATTGAATTTAAATGTAACGTCGTTTTTTATGTGATTTATATTATACGTGATAACTCAAAGGGATGTTGAGAGCTCTCTTAGATTGCAAGGGAAGCAAATCTTTGTATGTGAGAAAATGTAGAGGCAATAAACGTAACAATTTGAAGAGGTTCTACCGCAATAGATTATGTATGTACGTTTAGATATTTATCAAATGCATGTGTTGAATGCTTTCTGAACTTTCATCAGTCATTCATATTGTATTATTAGCTTTCAGATTTGTTCTAACATTAATATCTGACGATGCATGGTCATCCATTATTTTACCTTTCTCTTTCCGCTAATCGGTACATTAAACACGATGATACTTACACGGTATTGTTATATGGACATCTCATAGGTACACGGCAACTTGTCTAACTAGCAGATATAAAATGCTTTTTAGAAAAGAGATGTTGGGATTGACGAGAGCTATTTCTCTTTACGACAACATCGGGCTGCCATAAAACTGCGACGACTTGTAATGGTTTTTAAAGAGGAATTGGGCATCAGGTTTTATCTAGAAGACAGAAGAATACTCATTTTTATATACCAAGAAATGCCCCGACTTTGTTGTAGCTCATCTAAATTTGCATAAGTTTGTGTATATGATTTGGTCAGATTAAGATAACTTTAGTCAGATTAAGTACTTAATAAAAGATAAAATAAAATATTTAGGATTAAAGATTTAAAATAAAAGATACACAGAATAAAAGATCTAAATCTAAATGAAAAAAAAGATTTAGATCTTTTATTCTATAGAATCTGTTCCATATTAAACTGTACCAACAAACATAAACTGTACCAACAAAAAAAAAAAAATAAAATTTCAATAATTGATGAAGATACGTTAGTGCGGGTATGTGCATCGACGTTTACAAGTGAAGATATTGAAAAATCAAAAACACTTTTGTACGATTCTGTTCCCGTGGAAAAGGCGAAAATAAGAAGGAAAAATAAAGGAAAGGAGCAACGAGACCTAGTGGACATAATTAGTGTTTTTAAATCTGTGGAGCCGGATGAATTCCCAATTTTTGTGGCTCGGGACTTAGATAAACTACCTCCAA